GGGCCATGGCCATGAGAGGGAGGGAGGGTGAAGGGACCAGGCAGCAGGAGGCATCCCTCCCCCCACCCGCCCCTCCCACAGGGGGGGTCCGACAGATTACCGAGCAGAAACCTCCTCAATCTTCTCAAATGTCCGGGCCACAGCCAGGTAAGGGACCCTGGGGGAGGAAGAGAGACACGGGGCAGTGCATACAACCCACGCCGTCCATCGTCTGTCCGCCTGCCTCCCCGCGCTTTCCACGCTGCTGCCTGTGTCCCCTGAACGTGGACACGAGGGACGCAGCAGTTCCCTCCAACGGAGGCCTCCAGGGAGAGGCACCCGGCGACGGGGGCGCGAGGAAGGCAGTCGGGGGCGGGAGAAGCCTCACTTCTGGCCCGGCTTCCAGCAGGCGTCGTCGACGGGATGGTAGTTGTTCTTGGCCGGGTTGTAGCCAGAGGGGTCCAGGGGTCTGTGGAGGCAAAGGGGAGATCAGACGCCTGGGGCAAAGCAGAGCCGCTCCTTCAACTAACACTTTCTGGAGCACCTGCTGTGCACCCGACACCGTTCTAGGCACGAGGGCACACAAAGGAACGAAAACAAAGTTGGTGAACCTGGAGCTTCCGCTCTAGTGGGAGAGTCAGGGGCAACAGACAAAACAAAACACAGAAGCAAACAATTTCGATATTAAGAAATATTTAAAACCAAGTGGTGGGGGGCACAGTGGGATAGAAGGTGCTAGATCTGAGGAAAAGGTGGGGAAGGAGATGTTTGGGCAGAATAACCTGGGGCGTGAGCAGACTGGGTATCGGGGAGAAGAGCACTCCAGGCAGGGGCAACAGCCAGTGCAAAGGCCCTGAGGTAGACACGCACGTGACACGTTTAAGGAATGGAAACGTGGCTGGGGGCGTGGCCAGCATGATCTGGCTGCTTTTTACAGTCCATTCTAAGAGGCTAGGGACCCCTCGGGTTTCCCAACCAACATCTCCCTTACTTTCTCTGGATGGAACAGCAGGAAAAGGGTGCCGTCTCTGGGTGCCGCAAAGTGCCAGGCACTGTGCTCAGAGCACTGCCTCTGTTCGCAATGAGCCACACTAGGGACTCTTCTAACCCTGTTTCCCGGATACTCGTAGGTGGCACAGGGTCATATGACAAGCAGCACAGCCCCAGAGATGGCATTCCAAACCTCCCCGTTCTAAATGCCTCCGGAAATGCCTCACGCTGACTCTGCTGGAGCCACTCGCGGCCAGACTGTGCAGTCAGACCCATCTGGGTTCCCGTCCCTGTTCCCTCCTCGAGCAGCCGCGTCACCCTGAGAGAGCAGTTTCCTCTCTCTGAACCATGGTGCCCTCGTCCGTACCACGGAGCTCCCAAGAGTCCCCACCATCACACGTTGTCGTGAGGGTTAAGAAATTACGGTGAAGGGGGGCTGAGCGTCCGACTTCGGCTCAGGTCATGATCTCACGGTTTGTGAGTTCGAGCCCCGTCCGTCTGTGCTGACAGCTCGGAGCCTGGATCCTGCTTCGGATTCTGTGTCTCCCTCTCTCTCTGCCCCTCCCCCGCTCATGCCCTGTCTCTCTCTGTCTCTCAAAAGTAAATA